CCCTGATTTTTTTTTTTTTTTAAATATATATTGATTTTAGAGAGAGGAAAGGAGACGGAGAGAGAGAGATAGAAATATCAATGAGAGAGTCATTGATCGGCTGCATCCTGCACACCCCCGACTGGGGATCAAGCCCACAACCCGGGCATGTGCCCTGACCGGGAATCGAACCCTGATCTCCTGGATCCTAGGTCGATGCTCAACTGCTGAGCCACGCCCGGCTGGGCTTGTGTCCTTTCCATGTTACCCTTCATATTGGATAACTTCCTTGTGGAACTGTTTCACTGGAAAGAGCTTCATCTTGGTGCTGGATGACTGCTTTTAGGGGTCTTTGTCACACATCTCCCACTTGCAAAAGCCTATAAGCCTGATGGAACAGGACTGAACATAGCCTCTGGTTCCACTACTTAACAAAGAGTTCCAAGAATTTCTGCTTTTGCATGATGACAACTGTTAGGTAGAGATTTAAATACCTGAGGGAGACTGATGAGTTTGCCTGATTTAGCATGAAAATTATGCTACATCTTATTCAAGTTCAGGGGTGACTTTTTCCCCTTTCTGCTCTCCTGTTTGCCTCCCAGCTCTGCTGAACCACCTGCACCTACACATGCTGCTTCCTCAGCCCTTCAGTCTTAGCTTAGCCATCATTTCCTCTGGAAGCTTCCCTAGACCCACCAATCTAATAGAGATGTCTCTCTTGTGTCTTACCATAGCATTTTGGCTTTCCTTTATCATAAACACTTATCTCACTGACAGCAATTGTCTGTTTATCCATCTGACCACTTCCTTGATGCCCACAAGACTGTGAGTGGCAGGGCCTGTGGCTTGTTCACCTCCATTTTCTCAGTTTTTGTACAGTGTCCAGCCTGTTAACAGATACTTATTGAACAAATGAGTGAAAACCAAACGTGTCCATGTCATTCTTTTTGCACGCGCACCGCTTCTGGTTGACGCCCCTACTAGTGCACCCATTTCATATTTCTAACCCCCTCCTCTTCATGTATCCCTACCAAAGTGGCCTTTGGAAAGTTTAGGGTAGCCCAGGCTCCCTATGAAAGCTTTCCTTAGCAGGCATACATGACATTCTTTCATCTCCAAGGCCCCTTTCTTGGGCCCACATTGTCACAGGGAACACCAGGACGAGGCCTTAGTTTCCTGTTTGCTTCAGTCACTGCCAGAAGCCCAAGTTTCCCGCCTCCCTCGCTCCAAACTTCACAAGGACACTTGAGCTCCTTTCCTCATGTTTAGTGTCTCCACTGCATTCAACACCGTCTTTTTGCAACAGGAATTTATTGAAGCAATAATTTTTCTCTCCCTCCTGGATTACTCCCATGAGCACACAAACATGCTGTTATTTCTCCCATCTTAAAAATAAGAACTTAATCACACTGCTCTGTCCCTCTTCTGAGTGGCCAAGCATCTCTTCGGAGCTTTACACTATCTGTAAAGGCAGAACCAAGCCAGGGCTCACCTGCCAGGCACTGTTTTCCCCTCCCTGTCCCAACCTGACATGGAGCAACTGCCCTCCTTCTGATGGCTGCCCCTGCTATGGGCTCAAAGGGGCTTTTGATTTTGAGGCATAATTGCAGGTCCTTTGTGCCAATTGGCCTTCCCCTCTGCAGTGTTCTATCAGATTCTCTGCTGCCTCAGAACTTATGTTCGCTGGGCAGGGAGGGAGCTGAGAACACTCCAAACGGTGGCTTTTCCTTTCTCCCTGGCCTCTTGGTCAAAGCTGGTGGGCTTGTAAATGTGTCAGTCATAAATGAAGCTAGAGATATAAAAGACTTCCTGTCCCAGTGGTCACCATGCCTCCTGGCAGAACCCCACACTTCCTGCTGTCACACATGCCATTGCACAGGAGAGCAAACCACAAAGCTATAAATCTCTCCACTTGCATTTGCCAACTGCAACATTGAGCCTCTCCAATGGAAGAAAGCTCCCGCCTGTTACCCTTGTCTGTGCTCAGTTCTCTCCAGCAGAAAGCAAGCACATGCTGTCCACAGGGGCTGGTCAGATGGCATGCACTGAGTAAAGGGCACCTAAATGTAAAAGATAAGGCACTTGAGGAGAGTCCTCATTTTTTTTTTTTTTTTAATATATCTTTATTGATTTCAGAGAGGAAGAGAGAGGGAGAGAGAGAGAAACATCAACGATGAGAGAGTCATTGATCGGCTGCTTCCTGCACCCCCCGACTGGGGATCAAGCCCACAATCTGGGCACGGGCCCTGATCGGGAATCGAACCTTGATCTCCTAGATCCTAGGTCAATGCTCAACCGCTGAGCCACACCCAGCCAGGCGAGTCCTCGTTTCTTTCTCCCTGCCTCCAGGAGGCAGCAGGGAAGTTTACAGATACTGAGGACTCCTTAGAATCGTGCGACTATGGTCACTTGCAAATACCTCTTTCCCCATGCCTTATACCCAAAAAGGTAGCTATCCTTTTATCTGTTGGGATTTGCACGTCTTCTGGGTACTGTCTGCAGCAAACATTCTAGGTCAAGGCTGAGTGGGGAGCCAAGGAGGCTTAAGTCCTCCTCAGTAGATCCAGTGGCATGCCAAACAGTCTGCCATTATCTCAGCACTGGTTTCTTTGTAGCATCATTTTCTTTTGTTTTTTGAGCATGGACTAAGCTTTGCCCATCATCTTACCTCAAGATTGATTCTTTGTAAGATTTTTATTGCACTAAGGAAAGCATCTTTCAATTGCTGCAGTGTTTCTCAACAGGGCACTGATAGTTTCAAGCCAGACAATTCTTGTTCCACTCCAACCCCAGCCTTCATGACAAGCAAAACACATTTATTTGCAGATGTGCTGTAAGGCATCTCAATCCCTGGTTGAGAAACACTGTGATTTAGGTGGGGGTAATACATATGTCTTCTATCTTTAAAAAATAATCCCTTGACCCCAGAGATCTCTGCTTTACAGTCAGACATCTCTAAAGATTTGGCTGCACAACCCCCTCTACTTTTTTACTTCACATTAATTACTGATCCTTTCACCCTGACTTGAGTTCAAATCCACTCCTACAGCAGCTTAGTGCTGTATGGCCTTGGGCACATTAGTTAATTTCTCATTTTTTTTTTTCATACATAAAATGGACATAAAATAGTTATGTTTCCTATAGGATAGTTTTGGAGATTAAAATGGATTGTGGTAAAACACATAGAAAATGGTTTTCTCACATAAGAAATGTAACTAGCAACATGTTACTTAATTCTCTTAGAATTCTACTTGTATTTTAATCATCTTGGGGGTTTTATAGAAAGACAGTCATCAACTTCAGATAATGGTAATCCTCTCTCCTCTCCAACGTATATGATTTTTCTAGTTGAGCAATTCTCTAGAAGTTAAATAACAATGTTAGATGATACTGAGAATGATGGGCACTTATGATTTGCATATGATTTTAATATGTGATATTGGCTTTGGGATTGAGATAAATAGTGATAAGAAATCTTCCTTCTTGTTCTTCATTACTAAGGTTTTTTTAAAAAGCCTGAGTATAAATGGATTTGTATTACATGTCTTTGCTGCCTTGATTGCATAATTCTGGTCCTTCCATCTGTGGGTGTGAATCCTATTACTACACTCCCTCAGAGCAGATTTGAAGATGGTGCACTAGTCCTTTAATCCAAAATGGAGTGGACTTTGCGTTTCTTCGTTACAATGGCTGGTTTACTTCTTTTTGCTGTCTTTGTCACGAAATAGGCTCTTGGCAGAGTCTGAGAAGCAAGAGCAACTGGTCCAGTAACTCCTTGTTGAATTGCCTCTCTGCAGGCCTGGCGCAAGCGCTGGTTTGTCCTCCGGCGGGGCCGCATGAGTGGCAACCCTGACGTCTTGGAGTACTACAGGAACAAACACTCGAGCAAGCCCATTCGTGTGATAGACCTCAGCGAGTGTGCCGTGTGGAAGCATGCGGGCCCTGGTTTTGTCCGGAAGGAATTTCAGAATAATTTCGTGTTCATTGTTAAGACTACTTCTCGTACATTCTATCTGGTGGCCAAGACCGAAGAAGAGATGCAGGTGTGGGTACACAGCATCAGTCAGGTGTGCAACCTCGGTCACCTGGAGGACGGTGCAGGTGAGAACAGAGTCAGGGTTCCTGTGTGCTAAAGGGGTGGCCTGGGATGCTGCATGTGCACAGGAGAGCTACTGTGGGAAAACCGTTCAAGGCGCCATGCCCACCTCCTTTGAGGGGGTTTTGGCAGGCTAACATATCAGAACTGTTCCCACCCACCAAATACAGTACCAGAAATTTCTCTTTCACCTGGTTTTAGACTTCAGGTCCAAATGTACCACACACTGAGCAGTACAGGCAACTTCAGTGGCTGCGAAGCCACTCTGTGCCTTTGCTCTCATAAGCCACATAGAATGCATTCAGTGAAGGTAAAACGTGGGTGAGGACATCCTGTAGGGCTCTGATTTTCCCCATGCTGCTGCTGCTGATTTTCTAGAAATATTAATATCACTGTCTTTCAAAAATTCGTGGAACTCCAGCTTTTCTGTTACCTGTTGTATTGCTTAGGATTAGATGGTAGAAAGACAAAATTTAGCTACTTATTATAGGCAGGGAAGAATCCCTCATATCTCCAATTGGCTCAAGGTCTCTGCAAGCGAAATTAGCTCCAAGTTTGCCCAGGGCCATTTCTGGGCAGTGGAAACTAATGACTCATGAGGCTCTTTCTCCTCCCTTTCTCTCTCTCACTCTCACTCTCTCTTTCATACACACACACACTCTCTCTCTCTCTGCCTTTTCTATGTAATATACCAGGTATAATGCACTTAGGATTACAATTCACTCCCTTTCGTGGATTTTGTGTTGAGCAGCATGCCCTGATCTTCAAACCATGGAACGTTCAATCTGATTTCTTGTACCCTTAGTCTGGTAGACAAAACCTTACTCCTAAATTCTGTGGTCAACAGTTGCTTCAACATTTCCAGTTACCAAGTGTTTATCATTGGCCACTGAAATATCTACATTAAACGCTAGGTGGTGGTGGAGAGTCAGAGTTGCATCTCCACCACCGGCATGTGAGAGAGTTTCCTGAGGACAA